CGATATTATTTAAGTGTTGTTTCCTTTTATTTGTATTGAATATTCTCATACATGGTAGATATGGTGGAAGACCAAGAACCTTGGTCCAAAGTAGAATAATTCCCATTATATTTTTATAATTACCAAAACTTATTTTTGTTTGTGCATACATTAACGGGCATAAGCGTTCAGCCAATCTTTGGATAGCTAAGTGAAAAATTAATATATTATAGTAGTAACTAATCCCTCGGCTTTCATTTTTTCGAAAGTTGGAAAATTTTTTCTGGTGGAGTTGGGAAAATTTGGATTCCCTTCCCCCATGGTTTTTTATTTTCCTACGGCACTGACTGGAAGAGGTCTTTAGTAATACCATACTTGGATTCAATTATCACCTCCCTTGAAGTACGTTTTGCTGAAGAAAACACGCCATAATTCGCATTATCTAAGTTATCTAAGTTACACCCGGCGCAGATGCAAAAGATGACAACTGAAAATCTGAAACAAACTTGTGACTCTATTGCCCAGTTTTATGAATTACCGAACATAAAGAATGAAATCGAACTTTGGCAGCAATTGTGGCACGATAGGCTTAATCTAACAAATATTACAGTTGATGTCCTAAAAGAAACAAATTCCTTCTTTCCCAAAACGGAAAAAGCATTGAAAATTTTGATGGCTTTACCATGCACAACCTGTACAGCAGAGCGATCCTTTAGCAGCCTCAGAAGACTGAGAACATGCAGAAGCACCATGGCAGAAGATCGCGTTAATGGTCTGGCCACGATGAGTGTACACAGAGCTATAGGTAATAAATAAAAACCTAAATAATTCTAATGATAAAGTGGTTGAAAGTTTTGCAAAAAATCCCCGCAGGTTATGTTTTAATTAAAAATTATTTTTGTTAAAATAAATAATTATTACTGTGTTAAAAAGTTTGATTTAGTTATTATGCTGGCTTGTTAAGTTTTATACAATGATATCAGAACCGTTCTTATTACAATCGTCATCAAGGCAGAGACTTCCAAAATGTAACGCTTCATGCTATCCATAATATTGCCCCATTGCCCCCCTTGGTCATAAGCTGGCGACGCCCTTGTTCATCATAATAAATGAAATATACTTCGCCTTGCTATTACCATTACCATTACAACTCAAAACACAAAAAGGAATACTTAGAAATTAAGAACTTGACATGTGTAAGAGAATTCCTTGTACCTACAATTCGTGATCAGGAGTACTCGGAATAGTAATTCGAAAAATAAGTTTTAGAGTAGGTACTCGTACCATTGTCTAAGGCTAAGAATTCAAATGCTGGTACATAAGAACATTTACTTTCCCTACAGACATAAATATGTCTGCCCATAAATAATTTGAGGTATGTCCTGCCATCTATCAACAATATTTGAAATAAAGCCCGTACTTTGAAGAGGATTTCGTCGTTGCCGGTACATCGGAAAAATGGATCGTTTAAAACATCAATGGATAGATGTCACAACAAACAACAAAATGCTCAAATGATGGTATTCAAGGAATTGAAAAATATGAAAGGGTTTTTTTAGCGATTCAGTAAAATCCAAATTATTTAAAATCATTCATCTAGATTGTACTGGATATTTCAAAGTATTGTCACCATTGAATTTTGAACCAATTTCAACAAAGCTAATATTTTTTCACTGATAGTTTCATTAAATGTAAATCATAGAAATGAAAATCTGATAAGCTTTCAATTTTGCGTTAATTATCAATAATTTTTGATTCATGTAAAGAAATAGTTGATGCCTAATACCTAGATAAAACTTTTAAAAAAGTAAGAATACTTCAAAATAAACGATAGTGATATTCTACTGTATCGAAAGTATTGCAATTGAAAATCTCTACTTACCCCATAGTTGGTTTCAAAAATGAACACGGTCAACTTAATCTTATAAAGCTCAATTTTCTTCCGAGCATTTTGACGATCACCACGGTGCAGCCGTTACCTATGCCCTAAAGCTCACTCTAAATATTATAAATCCTAATATTAAAATCTATAAATCTCTTTTTTACAAAATAAATTACTTTGTTGAATAAACATGGTGCCCGTTTTTATTCAATGTGACTGAACCGTCTTTAAATGTGATAAAATAGTTGTGCTCGGCAATGCGTGCACAAGAAACACACACAGCGAGGGGAAACCAGCAAATCAAGAATAGCAGACCATGTTTGGACCCATCAACACAACATCGACTGGTCCCAAGCTGAGATCTTGCACAGAGAGGAACATTGGTTTAGGAGAAAATTCAAGGAAGCCGCATACATGTTGTCCAACAACGTATTCAGCCAAGCCAGCGTAGAAATACGCAACATATGGAAACCCATCATCAAGCGAAAACTGGCCAACTTCCGCCAAAACGGTCATCTCCCACGGAACCAGTGAAGCGGAAAATAGAAAGCAGGGATAAGTGAAAGTACTCGAACGACCTATAAATAGTCATCTCTCGGAGGAATCAGTCCAGTCATCACCCGAAGACGATTGTAGATACTAACAATCGAAACGTCGTGAACTAACGTGACTTGGAATCTCTCCACTTTTTATTTTTATTTTCTCTTTTAATTCTTTATTTTAATTTATTCAATTGTTCTATTTTTACTTGTATTTTATTTCACTATTATTTCATTTCAGGTTTATTTTGGTTAATATAATTGTTATTTTAAGCTATTCATTTTCAATTCTTCTTATTTATTTGTTTCAGGGATTTCAAATCATTTTATATAATTGACAATGGAAGTCCGAACTTGTGAAATTCTACAATAATTTATGCCGACCTGCAAAATTTATTTTTAATTTCATCAGAATTGTGAAAATTTTTCATACACGAAGGGTAGGGGTTTAAATTTTTTTTGTTGAAAATGAATAACCTGGTTGAGATTCATGTCGGGGAGACCCAACCTGCAATAATTTCTGCCTTCCTACAAGATCACGAGAGCAATGTTTACTGAGACAAAATTGCAGACCTGCAAAACAGTTAGACCTCCAGGAAGCTCTATTCCTTTTTAAATTCAAATTATTACCTATATAGGTACGAAATGTTTCATTGATCTTGTTTTGCATACATTTTCATATCTTACGATTATATATACTATATCCAAAATAACAACTCTTGACAAACAATGTTTTCGTTTCCATGCAATAATATTTCTGGGAATTTCGTGCCTACTATAATGGAACTGTACTATAGAACATATTATTGCATTGTAACAAAGTATTTCCTTCAATCCTCATCGCTACTCTTAATAGATTTGTCATCTTCATCATCTTTTTCGTACAAAGTTATTGTAACAAATTAATTAATTAACTGTCTTAAACAAATTTATTTCCAATATTTCACTTATCACAAACTAATTTATTTACAAAACTTAGCAACTAACGCTTAATTTATTTCCACTATTTGAATTACTTGTTTAACCGCTCGATTCACTTTCTGAACTCTCCCTTGAGTCGGGAAGCCGGACTTATACAGCGTAACGGTTTTTTATGGAAATCTGTAGTCGGTTCGATACTCGACTAGAGTTTTACCGGCGGTTGCCGACTGCATTCCTTTTCCAGTGATGTCATGTGTTTCTTCGCTGGCCGGCATATCGGTCTGGGACGGCTTTAGATTCGTTACATTATATTATTTTCTTACAAAAATTGATTTCGATTGATGTGAAGTAAATAACAAAGAGCTCTTAAATTGTAAATAATATATGTTTCTAATTCTTCATCGCTATATTGATTGAACGTCATTATAGATAGGTAAACAGGGAAACCAACTGATTGCCAGTAACCACTGAAAACTATCTTTGTTTTTTATTTATGGTAAAACATTGTCGAAGTTACACGAACTGTGGTAACCACTTATAATTTCATAACAAGATCAAAAAATTGCACTAGAATTATCTGATAATTATCAACTATTACTGCCATGAATTACTATAGTTTTCATAACCTTGGTTACGATAACAGTTTTTTCCTTTCCTACTGAAGCCGTGAAAATCATCTGACATAGCTGTAGGATTCAGTCTAAGTCATCTCCTTTGTTAGCGAAACGAGTGTCGAAAAAGACCTTCAAATTACCTCCACCGCTTTTAAACATAGTCTGTATTTAACAATTTTACTTCATTTCTTTATTTCATTCTGAAAATCTGCAAATACTGTTTTGATTTGATTGTCTCTTGCGTTCGTCGGTAATCTACCGAATTCAAGTTCATTAAAATGGTTTCGTAATGATATCGAATGATATCGAATGAAATGCCCGTCATAGTATTGTGATGGAACATAATTAGTCGAATAAACGAAGTCTTTTCCAGTGAAGTACTCAGAAACAGTAAATCAAAAACATGTTGAAGAGAGGACCAAAATCTTTATATATTTATTCATATATTCAACCATAATTCATAGGTTTAATCATAGTAGAATTATTTTTATACTATGGTTAAATACAGTTTCAGTCTGGTATAACCACACATTCGTGTGTCTTATTTTCCGATAAGAAGAAGAAGAAGTATACAAATTCATGCCATTTATTTACGAATCTAGTACAAACAGTGTTACCAACCGTAGGGGAATTCCGCTACGGTAGCAGAATTTCACACACCATGGCGGCGTAGCGGAAACTTTAAATGACTAAATGAATTTGTTTGTGAATAATTAGCATCAAATGGTAATCCTAGCCACGTGCCGTGACGTTGACATCCAGTGTTACCTTCTCTACCGGAACTATGTAATTGATACCTTTCATGTGTGGAGAATGGCCCGAGGAATATCGAATTGTTTTGGAGAATTTGATTGTAAACATTGAGGAATTTCATAATTTTCCATTGGCAACGATGTCTTGAGAGCATGACAAAAATCGAAATACACACATACGTACGTCGATTTCCCTCTATTGGCATTATAATATAATTCTAGAAATCTAACGGATTTTTTTTGACTCGCATGCGACTTACGTCTCCAATGTGTTGGCAACACTAGTACAAATGACAAATAGACATTTCAGAGACGGCATCACTGTTTATTATTCATAATAATAATAATAATATTTATGATTGTTTAATTCAATTTTGAATTTTGAAGTGGATGGTAAAGATAAGTTGCTGAAAGAAATATGGCAAAGCAGTAAGTATAATTCGAAACAAAATTATTTTTCTATTTGATTTTCAAAGTGCTTATGTGTAGTCAGTGTTTATCATTATTTGTTTTTTTTTGATATTGCAGATATGGTTTGATTATTCCTAATAAAGGACATAAAATTGGACAAATAACAGCTAGACCTTCCATTTTTGTTGATTCAGATTCTGATACACCAGATATCAAACCGACAGGTTCCTCTAAAACTCTAAAAAAGCAGGATAAAATCAACCAAGAAAAAGCAGTTACTGAGGACCCAACAGTTTACCAGTATGACGAAATTTTTGATGAGATGGACCAGAAACGAAAGCAATCAAAACTTGCTAGGAAAGATTTAGATAGAAAACCAAAATATATAAATAAACTATTGGTTACTGCGGAAAAAAGAAAAAGGGAAAATGAAAGGAGAATTGAGAGGCAAGTACAGAAGGAACGAGAAGAAGAAGGTATGTTTCTGTTGATGTATGCTCTGATCTGTTTCCAAAGAAATTATTGGGAAAGTTTTTGGCGTTCTACTCCTCCATCTTGATACAAAAAATGTTGGGAATAGGTACAAACAGAATAGAAAAAAGTGTTTTTTCTTATAATCCAGCGTCGATGTTGTTGACACCGAAAATAAAAAAGAGTAGGTTAGGTTCAAAGTCAGAGAATCTATTCTATCCTCCACTGCAACCTACAAGAGTTTACTTCGGTTGGAAATTCTAATGGCAGAATATCTTATGAAATCGCTCAAATCGACTAGTGTTTTTTGTCTTGTAGAATAGACTTTGAAGCTATTTCATCTTGGTTTACAGTTTCCATATTCCATTCATGGAATATTAAATATTAGCTCAGCTTCTTGACGAAGCCAATTAGCTTATTTAGTGACTGAACTTTCACGTCACATGGCAAATGTGAAACTGCCTAAAAATCCTGGTCGATTATCAAAGATTTTAGTGATACATCTGAAACAATTTTTAGCAACGGAAGGGACTAGAGATAAATTCACAACCCCCAGGAAGGGGTACCTACTTTTCTGACATCATTTAGCATTAACGAGAAAAATGCAAATGAAAATGTTTTCGACCTCAGATCAGTCAAATTTTCAAAATAATAGGGACATTTTGTATTTCATTAATGACCGTGTATTTAAGACCTGTACATATTTTCAGTTTTATGCAAATCATCAAAAGCCTTCCATCTTTATTTTGTTCGTTTTCACACAATTGTAACTCGATACCTACTTATCAAATTCAAAACGGTGGGTAGTGTTGAAAAAAAAAATCAATGGCTTTTCATACAAGATATCATTTGAGGTTGAAAATATGCTTGAAAGATTTTGTCCTCTATCACAAATCAGCTTTTGTTGGTTCACAGTCCCCAAATCTCAAAAGAATTGTCATATTGCAAACGGCAATATCATGTATTAGTGACAGTGAACTACCAAACACGAATGAACGCTTGCAAAACGTTTTTCAAGGACAGGTTCCCTGAACCTGAAGCCTCACTATTGGCAATATAGGCAATACATTTGGAAACGTATATGATCATGAAAACACATGAATTCATCAAATATTATTTGTGAACTTAATTTTTATAGATCCAGTACAAATATTATCAAAAAGAAAGTACTTTTAGTAGAGATTACTTTTTGTGAAAAAACTTTTTTTTATTTCTAAATTATTATGTATAGAGGGGAATTCCCATATAGTAAAGAAAAAATTACATGAATCATTAAAAACTTTTCATAAAGATAAGTAGATCATGCACAGAAAATACCGACGAAAAAAATTCATTAAATATAACTACTTTTAATTATTATCATTGAACTCTTCCTACCAAGTTCGTATACCAAACATTTGTAATGGAGTTAAAGACAGGTGTCTTCACCTGATACTTATGGAGGTCCAGCCAAAGGTTGAAATCTTTTCTTGTAAGTTGAATTTTATATCATTACTGTTTTCAAAAATTAAAGAATCTACTGTTAATGGTACACACATCCCTGTGTAGAGTTTTTTATTGATTTATTTGAGAGTTGTCTAATCCTCATACATTGATGAAAAAGTAGAATGTAAAAATGGTTTTTCCCTGAAATTATTGGTAGTTTCTATTTTCAACTACCCTTCTTCATTCGTTCTAAAATAAACAACTAAAAATTCAAATTTCCAGGTGACATGTTCAAGGACAAAGAATCTTTCATCACATCAGCCTATAAAAAGAAGTTAGAAGAAATGCGAGAGCTAGAAGAGCAAGAAAAACGAGAGGAATATCTTGAAGGTATTGGAGATGTTCGCAAGCAAGGCAATTTAGATGGTTTCTATCGGCATTTATATGATCAAAAACTGAATTATGAAGAGAAGGAAGAAAAGCCGATAATAAAAGAAGAAATCAAAGAAGAACCAGAAAGTGATAATGTAGCGAATGAAAGTAATTTGTCAGAACATATACCTGAAAAAGTTTCAGAACCCAATAGTGTAAAAGTCAAATCAACAGAATCGGTGAAGAAAAGAAAATATAGAGCGCGTAGAGATTCCCAAAATGAAAGTGAAGATGAACCTGTGGTGAAAAAAGGCCATTTGTCTTCCAACTTAGATGCGGACTCGGATTTCAGCATTGATTCTTCAGATAGTGAGAATGAAGAAGAAAAATCTAACAAAACCAAAGAAGTTCCCAAGGTCAAAACTACGGATGATAAGTCTCCCAATGAAAATTCAGTTAAAGAGGAGAAACAAGTTCTTCCAAAAGGTGAAGAAGAAAAAGTAATAGAGGTGAAGCCAAAGAAACCAAAAGTTGATATTTGGAAAAAGAGAACTGTTGGAGAAAAGTTTGAGGAGGCTGTCAAAAAATTCTTTGAGAGAAAAGCTTCAAGAGAAATGGGTCCATAGAACTTTTATTCAATGTACCTTTGTTAAACGTTGGATTTCTGTATGAAACTATAATGAGAACTATATTTGAGGAAAATGAAAGTAACAATTGATAAATGGAGAAGCGTTATTAAATGAAGATTAATAAAATATGTCAGCACAAAAACATGTACTTTTTTTAATCAAACACAGAGAATTTATTTTTGTTAAGTTTATAAAGTTCGTTTTTTTTAGATGAATACTTTAGCAGCCTAATCAAAGAATAAATATTTTTTTAACAAATTCAATTGATTTATTTTTTTCAAATTTCCCAGTAGTATGCAGAAAAATTAACAGAACACTGGAATCAATTGGATCATATGATTCATGCTTTGTAAATAATGTGCCCATTGACATCAAGCTGACATCTACGCAGATGTTACTACTGTTAAATGAATATTGGTGACATAGAAATGAGCACATCACTAACAGCATTGTACTTAGGTCTGAAACTTGACTATAACATTTCATTCAACAACCAGATAGAGGCTAATATTGCTTTCTATACACTAAGTCCTTACGTGATAAATTTATATTTGCACTGGTATGGCATCATTAGTGTAGATCATGGAATACTGCTGAAAAAACTATATCACTATAGCATCCGTGGAATTACTCACAAGTGGTTCGAAAATTATCTCACAGGAAGAAGTCAGATTGTGAAAACCTCATCATCCTCATCAGAAGGCGAAATAAAAAATGGCGTACCACAATGTTCAATACTGGGACCGACACTTTCCCTGCTATACATAAACGATTTAGCATCTATCGATATAAAAGGAAAATTTACCATATTTTCTGATGACACCACAATATTGTGGCATGATAAAACTTCATGTAATCTACACTGAGAATATAAGTGCAGATATAAAAAAAATAAAAAAGTGGTACGACTC